TGGGGAGGATGGAGACGGAAGGCGGGAGTAGGGTGGAAGAGGTGGTGGAGATGGAACGGGGAGAGGTGGGGTGAGAGGTGGGGATAGGTTGACCAGATAGCAAGTGTAAAAAATCAGGACAGGGATGGTGGGTAATAGGTGCCTGTATAAGAAAAAGCCCCCAAAATCGGGACTGTCCCTATAAAATCGGGACATCTGGTCACCCTAGGTGGGGAGGATGGAGATGGAAGCGGGAGAGGAAGGAAAGGAGCAAGAGAAAGAAGTGTGAAAGAAGGAAACGAGAAGCAAAGAAGTCTGAAGAATTCCTGATATGTCTGCAATTGGAAGTAACAAGTATGAGAGACTCAAGCTTTTATTTAAGGGAGGGAGGGGGAGAGTTTCCCTTTGACTTTTGTTTAACTTGTGACAGAACAATGTTACTGTCATTGTAACAAGAATTGTTTGTAGGTGGTGAGGTAAGTTCTCCAACCAGCTGAAGTGCTTGTTCCCTGACTCTAAACATTCAATAACTTCCAAAACCCGGGCAACATTTCACACCCTTCCCTATTTTGGGTGACCTGCTGTGTCAGTTGCTGAATACATATTTCCTGTGACAGTAATCACTGGTGTCATGTTAAATTTACCTTGGTCTGCAGCAGCTTTGCTGCGTTTGTGTGGCTTTCCCTCCAGCCCTTGTGTTGATCAGAAAAATTCCCATTCCTTATGAGGGTCAATAAAACTATGCTACAACCTCACTAGAAGTAAATCTGTTTAACTAATGGCATGCGTCTGATTTCAGCATGGTCAGATCTTGTGGGGTGCAAGTCCAGTGCGTGGAAAAATCAATGGAAGTTTTGCCATTGACTTCTTGGGAGCAGGTCCTCATACCGCAGTGAATGGTAACAGTGAACAATTGCATTCAGGTTAATCTGTCAGCAATAAGTGTTACTACCATGCCATAGTCAGGTTTCCAGAGTTTGTATGAAGGCCTTTCAACCTTTTATTGCCATTTAAATGGACCCCCGCTTCTCTAGACTGCTTTATGGTGTGAACAAAAGGAGGAAGAAAAGGATTAAATATTGCTCACTTTCTGTTCCATTATCTCAGTGTTTTTCTATTAACTAATTATATAAGTCTTATGACACCCCAGTTGGGTAGGTGAATTATCCCCATTGTACAGAGGGGGGAAACTAAGGCACAGATAGGTGAAGCAACTTGTCCTCAATCATGCAGCGAATTAATAGTGGAGCCAGAATAGAACCCTTGCTCTAACTTCTGAGGAAAAGTAATGGGGCAGATACAGTCTTTAGAGGCCCCTTAGCCATGATGCATTCTAACCCAGAGTTGCTCCAAAGAGACGGTCATGTTGAGCCAAACAATGGTATTGGTCTCTTGGGGTTAAATCCCAGCAGGGGTTTCCACAGCGCATCTGAGAGAGGGCCTCCCACAGTTGAGGTATCAGGTGCAGTTGAGCTAACTTAGGCTCAGAACCTTAAATGGGACTGGGTCTCTTTTATGAGAGAAAAGAAAAAAGGGATTGCTGTCTAAAAACCAGGATAGAGTGGCAGAAAATCTGCTTTGTTTATGTATGGCTTATTTTGGAGTTTACAGATTTAAACTGCATAAAGAGAATGTGAACAGGGTCTTGTGATTTATAAGTTTTTGATTGCATAAAAATGTAAAATAAACTTGAAACCCTAGTGAGGGTTTTTCCTCTGCTTTATGTCAAATGCCTGCAAAGTTTCTATTGAATATCATGGATCATGGTCTTGCCATGTCTATGCAGCGTCTCTTTTATATGAAATCAAAATAATCCCCATTCTATGTCCACTAACCATTCTGTCTGGGATACTTCTTTAGAGGCATACCCAGGCCCGCCGACGGGGGGTGGGGGGGAGGGGGAGGGGAAGAAAGGGGGCAATTGCCCAGGGGCCTGGGCAATTTAAAAGGGCCAGGGGGGCCACCAGCCATGACCACTGCCGCCGGCAGCGCAGCAGAGCTAAGGTAGGCTTCCTGCCCACCCTCACTCCACGCCGCCCCCAGAAGCAGCCAGAATGGCCCTATGGCCCCTGGGGGAGGGCAGGGGATCTCCGTGCACTGCCCCGCCCCAAGCGCCAACTCTGCAGTTCTGATTGACCAGGAACTGCGGCCAATGGGAACTGTGGAGGCGGTGCCTGCAGGCAGTGGTATGCAGAGACTCTCTGGGGCTCCCCACCTAGGAGCCGCTGCTAGAGGGATGTGCCAGTCGCTTTTGGGAGCCACCCGAGGTAAGCACCGCACCCCCTGGCCCCATCCTGCACCCCCTCCAGTCTAGAGCCCGCACCCAAACTCCCTCTCAGAGCCCGACTCCTCACCCCCTCCCACACCCAAACTCCCTTCGAGCCCGCAACCCCTCCTGCACCCAAGCTCCCTCCCAGAGCCCACGCCCCGCACTCCCTCCCACACCCAAACTTCCTTCCAGAGCCCAACCCCTCACCCCCTCCTGCACCCAAACTCCCTCCCAGAGCCTGCACCCCGCCCCCCCTCACGCATCCCAACCCCCTGTCTCAGCCTGGTGAAAGTGAGTGAGGGTGGAAGAGAGTGAGCGACAGAGGGAGGGAGTATGGAGTGAGCAGGGAGCGGGGCCTCAGAGAAGGGGTGGGGCAGGGGCAGAGTCTCAGGGAAGGGGCGGGGCAAGGGTCTTTGGATTTGTGCAATTAGACAGTTGGCAACCCTACCAGGTGGGCATGTGGAAGCCCTGGCCATGCCAGAAGAGCACAGGCACAGCACCACCCAAATGTCAGGTGGACTGCATCCGCGCGGGCACGGATTGTGCATGCATGGGGGCCCATTGACTGTTCTGCCCTGGGGCCCAAAATTGCTGTTGGTGGGTCTGGCCATACCATTAACGTACTTCTAGCTTTCTGATAAGTGGCCTTTGTTTCAAATTAACATATCAGTGAGTTATATGTATAGGCATACATTGATATTAAAATTATATAGTATTTAAATTTGAGATGTTTTATGAACATATAGTAAAATATATATATATGCACACAATCATCTCCACCTCTACTTTGTAATATTGCTGGAAACAGCAATCCCCACCTGTCAAGGGGCCCTGAGTTGTTTCCTAGTAATCCCCTTTCAGTTTTCCTTCTTAAATATGGGCTAGTCTACACTACAAGTGCTACATCAGTGCAGCTGCACCACTGTAGCACATCTGGTGAAGACGCTCTTTGCCAATGGGAGAGAGCTCTCCCATGAGCATAATAAATCCACCTCTGTGAAAGGCAGTAGCTATATGGGCGAGAGAAGCTGTGTCATAGCGCTGTCCACACCGGCGCTTATGTCGGTGTAACTTACGTCACTCAGGGGGATGGCTTATTCACATCCCTGAGCGACCTAAGTTAAACCAAAGTAAGTTGTAATGTAGACCTGGCCTGAATAGACCTTTCAGTGGCTGTCCCTGATCTTTTTCCCTTGTGTAAGAATAAAAATTTACATATTCTCATCTACTTGTAGCTAGTCTCTCCATTCAGTCCTTTAATGGGGCTTTTAGTATCACCATAGAAGACATCCCCATTTTCCCCAATCTTTTTTATTTTTCCTGGCTTTGTATTTGAATAATCATGCATTATAATGAGAACAAATCACTCAAGGTCTGTCTCTACACTGGGAGACTGTGTGTTCATTTTCAGCTCTCTAGCTAAGATCAGTCATTACTTTCCTAATCTATTTGGGTGGAAAAGAGGATTTAAAAAAGAAAAAAAGAAACCCAGCTCTTTTTGAAGAGGACAGAAGACAGGGAGTTTGTATCTTTGCGCTGACATTGTCTGCAGGTTGCACAGTCACTGTTACCAAGGCTCTTAATAGAAAGCTGCTTGTAGCAGCCTAGCCTGAGTCAACTGATGACAGAAGCTTATAAAAGGAGGACAACAGGAACCTCCTGAGACAAAAGCAAGTTGGGCTACATGGACATAAAATAGAATTTAGCAAGAGTGCATATTACATGAGCACTATAAATAAATTTCAAAACAATAAAAAGTTGCTGAAAATTGAAAGAAATCCTAGAATTTTTTTCAGATATCATGCCATCCCAATGCTGCACCTGCAGTCCAATTCCATCATTCCCTAACTTGACTTATTTTAAGAATGTTTAAGAAAGGTGTTTCTCCATGGAAACTGCTTTCTTTAGGAAATGCCTAGATCATCTTTTAAGAGCCACCACTGACAACCTGAAGACTAAACTCAGGAAGTCAGTCAAGGACTGCGTTACGGCAAAGCTACAGCTGGATCTCAGTCTCTAGTCTTTATGTATATAATCTGATTAGCTACTACATCATCATAATATCTAAGTGACATTTATTATCTTAATAACTTTATTATATAGATTGACATACCTTCTAGAGTTGGAACTTGCTTTTGC